ATTTCCTTCTGCCTGGTGTTTACTGAACAACTTCCCAATGCCAAGCATTGTTCACAAAGTGGAACAGGGCAAAAGTGCAAGCCTCTGAGACCCTCTCTTGTGCCTGGTCCCTTGCAGGCTGAAACATCAGCAGCCACTTAGACATCTCCATCAGTCCTTCAGCTGTCAGTCATCAAGTGCCCTCCAGCCTTCTGGCCAACAAGGTCTATATTCATTGGCCGTGGTGCTCTTCAAGCATGGGCCTCAGCAAGGTCCTTCATAGCCAGTCTTCCAGCAGCCACTGTCGCCATCTCCCAACCCTCTTGGCAAATGGTGTCAGACTTCAATTAGAAATGACTCTTTTTTGTGTTTGGGTCTGGGGAAACTCAACAGCTCTTGCCTAGGGCAGTGCTTAATGAAAGTGGCTTACCACAACCACAATTTGTCCCTGCTCCTCCATGGAGAGGTAGCAGTTGGTGTCCTTCTCCTTGCATCTGGGCTGGCCTGGGAGACTTGCTTAACCAGTAGACTAAGCTGGAAATGGTGTCACAAGACTTTCACGACTGTCAGAGGATGCCTTGCAGTCACCATCTGAGCCTCTGGAGACACTTTCTCTCAGAGCCATGAGCTGCCAAGTGTGTCCAGCTGTCCTGAAGCCATTATGCTGTGAGAAAACCCAAAGCACATGGAGAAGCCAGTGTGGGGGCTCTGGTCAGCATGCTGGTGAGCTGGCTGACAGCCGGGTGCTAAATTGGCCTTGTGAGAGTCAATCTCAAGCTGGCACCATGAGTATCACGGGTGAACTCTTCTTATAGAATCATGTGCAAAGCTCAATGTTTATTTTAAGGCTTGATTTTGAGGTCCCTTGTTGTATATATATATACTAATGCATAACCAGACTGGTGCTCTTCAAATGTTGATTGAGTGAATAAATGATTCCTCTTGCTCTGGGGCTCAAGAGGAATCTGCCCCATTCAAGGGCTCTCCATGTAGCTTGAGAAATAAGGTTTGGGGCTTGTAGCTGGCATTCACAATCCTCCCTCATCTGGCTTCAGCCTGCTTCTCTGACTTTATTGCCTGCTCTCTCGGCATGAATCCAGCCTATGCTAAAGTTTGAGCTATTTCCCAAACACACAAATACTTCTCCAGCACTGTTCCTTTTTACTTATGTATTCTGCTCTCTCAGTCCAAATGCCCTTTTCTCTCCCAACCTCATTCAGTGGGTTGGCGGTCAACTTGCTTACTGAGATTTTAGTCAAACACCTTCCTTGGCTGTCCAGTCCAGCTGTAACCCTTCTTCTCTCTGGCCTTTTCACTTGATGGTTTAAATCCTCTTCACTGCATTGAATCTTACTGGCCTCTTATCCCCTATTGCGTTGCCATCTCCTTGTGTGGGATGAGAAAATGGGGAGGTACTGATATGTGAGTGGATGCATAAACTGACTGAATTGAGGCTGAACTGTACATGGAGTGGCACACACTGTTTCCCAAGCCAGGTGATCAAGTCTTTGGGGGAAAGAACTCTCAAGGGTGATGGCTTGGGTTTTGAACCATAACTCTATCACTGTGTGGCTTTGGGCAAGATATTTAAACTCTCTGATTTCCACTTTCCTTAGTTGGAAATGAGAGGGCTCAGGTGAGGACAGACCCAAAGGGTCTAGCTCAGGGCTTGGTACAAGATAAGCTCTTAATGTATGCCTGTCAAATGAGTGCAACAGATCACCCCTCAGCTAGGGGAGCTTCTGGGATGGTGTCAACTGGGAAGTCCTTCCCACCAGTAAATTTTCTTAAAGAACAAGGAAAAAGAAAGAACACACACACACACACTCTCTCTCTCACACACACATACACACACACACACACACACACACGGAGCAAGAGAATGATGAAGGAGAGAGGGAGAGGGGGGAAGGAGAGAGAGAGAGAGAGAGAGAGAGAGAGAGAGAGAGAGAGAGAGAGAGAGAGAGAGAGAGAATAGTCAAAGCCAAGGGTATTAGTCTATGTGATGTCAGCAAGCGGCTGCTGGGGACTCTTGTCTTCTCATCAGCAAATTGAGCGGTGGGCAATGGAATCTAAGCTCCCCTCCAGCCCTAACATTCCAAGAGCATTAAAGAAAAAGGATGAATCACCCCCTTCAAAATACCAATATGGGCTGGGCCCTCCCCCTGCTGTCCCCTTCTAGCACAGCTAAGAGCTCTTAATACACAGCCAGCTTCCTCCTGCAGCTGCCACCAAGCTTCAACCTCCTTTCCCAGGAGTCTCAAGCAAGACTGATAATGGACCTCCAGCTTCTCTGTCTCAACAGGGAGCCAGATCCCGTTCCCAGACTCTGGGGGCCGTGGGGCCTTCCGTGGACATTTGACCTCAGTTTCCTTGAGCGTGGAGGGTGACTAGGTGTTGAAAGGGTGACAGGAAATAAGGGAAGAAATTGGAAGAGAGGGAACCCTCACAGTACTGATGGGAGTGCAGGGGTTTCTCCGACCCTCTGCACTCTGGTTGGTTTGTCAAAGGCGTTGTGTCTGTAATAGTTATAAATCTCCATGGAGGAAGGCACTGTCCCCAGCAGCTGCACCAGTTCATAGACACAGACTTCCACAGCCAAAGCCTAGAGGACTCCTCCTAGGAGAGGGGCAGTAGGCGACTGCGGGGACATTGCCTCTTTGCTTACAGCTCTCTCCCTTAGTATTATAGTATCTACACTAATCATAATAGGAGAGTGGCCAGGGCCATGCATCATCAGGCACACATGTTCCTTCCAGGAACCAGCGCCTCCTGCCTTCTTCTTCTGGGACCGCCTGCGGCCTGCAGGGTTCTCTGTGCGCGCGGAGCCTCCTTGCGCCAGCCCTCCGGGTCTGTCAGTGCGGTGGTCTGTGGCCCGTCACGTCTGCAGCGCCGGTCCTCCCAGCTCACCCTGGCTCCTGGCTCTGAAAGCCGAGAAGCTCGCCGGCTGCGAGCGGGTTTTCCAAGTGGGCAGGGGTGGGGGCGGGCAGGCGGGCCCGCGGCGGGAGGAGGGGGCGTCGCGGAGGGAAGACCTCGCATTGTAATCCAATGACATTACCAACGTGGGGGTGGGGGGCGCTGGCCTCCGCGCGCTCTCCGAGTTTTGGCTGCCCGCCCAGCTGGGAATAACTCTCTTCGCATAATTCGCGTGTTTACCAGGCATGAAAATTCTTGCTTTGGGCTCCCCCCCCCCGACTCAAGCCCCCTCCTCGTCCCTCCTCCCCACCTCCTCCACCCCTCGCAAGTGAAACTCTGTCTACAAAAATATTGGCCCGGGGCACAGAAAGTTTTGCATAAATTCATAAGTGATGAATGGCTGATTTTTAACGTTATTTGGGTATTTGTCAGAACTTAACAAATATACATGGGGAAGGCGGTTCATAAACTTAAACATCTCAATATCCTCTTTCTTCTGGAAATAAATTACGTTTGTTTGCCCGGCTTGGAGTCTTAAGGTAGCCGACATTAGGAATATTTTAAAAGCCATCATCCATCGAGCATGTCTCCCAGGCGCCAGAAAGATTAAATGAAAGAATCATAAGATGGAGGTCTTTAACTTTTAATCCTTTTACAATGAAGCCTCAGATAGTCGCGGGGGCAGGGTGCCCTCTCTGGGGGGAATAATGCCGTTATTCCTCGGCTCCCAGTTAATGAATACCCTAACGTCTGTCCCACGACTGACGGAGGCAGCGCCGGGGAGGGGGCTCCGGCTCCCGGGCCAGGCTATTGAAATGAGGAGCCACCGAGGCTGCGTCGGGAAGGAAGAAAGCGCCGGGCTGGAGGGACTGGGAGGGCGGGGCCCGGGGCTTTGAGACTGAGCTGGGGACCCGGGTGCAGGTTTGAAATAATTAGCATAGATTCGCTGCTACTCTGGACTGGGGGGTGGGGGGGGCGGAGGATCCGAGGCCCGGAGGGAGGCGCGACGAGGTGGCAAGGGGGTGGGGAAGGGAGCAAAGGAGAGCGGCTGTGGAGTCCAAGATAAATAGAAGGAGCCAGGAGCGGTGTCAGGAAGCCGGCCCACGTGGAGCTGTGTGGATGGGCGCCACTGGGGATTGAGGCGGAGGGATGCACGAGAGAGTCTAGAGTCAGTCCCAAGAAGCTGGATTTTTAAGGGGGTGGGGTGCAGTGATATTTACCAGAATCTTTAAGGGGTAACTTTGTCTCTAATCCTAAAGTGCAAGCAAAGATCCCATTCTGATTTCTCCTTCCTTCTCAGCCCCCAAAGTGGAGTAAATGACCAGGGAGGGGTCGTGACTCCCTCCCCAGCAGCAGGTCTCAGAGACAGTGATTTGTACCCAAATTCATACCCCTCTGAAATTCAGGACCTTAGTTTTCCTTAGGTCCTGGAGAAGGCCCAGGTGAGTGTCAAATATCCAAATTATCTCTCCCACGTCAGCTGTGGGCCTGGGTTGTGGGGGCTCCAGACCTGCAGGATCCCTGAGGTTTTTATGTAATTGAATTCAAGGGGTCGCTTTTGCATCAACCACCGCAGTTTCCGGGCGTGCAAAGGGTTAACAAGGGCTGGATATTGTGGTGGGGGTGTGAGGAGGGAGGGGTGGCGGGATCTGGGTGGGCGCGCTCTGGTCCCCCCCCCATTCCTCGGGGGTCAAGTTTCAGCGGCACTCCGCCCCCAGGGAAGGTGTGAAAGACACGTGTCCCCATTGTGAAGGGCCTGTCAGCCTGGACAAAGCAGCCGCCCCCCTCCCTCCCTCCCTCATAGGCCCAGTCCGGGGTCAGCTCCAGGGGGCCGGCTGGGTGTCGAGGTCACTACAGGCCTGAGCTTTGGTGTCACGGGGGAGGGTACCCGGGGAGACTCGGTGGAGGCTACAGGATACTTAAAAGATGGGGTTTGCGAATAACAGCCCCCCCCCACTGAAAATTTTACAGTCACCTTCATCACCCCACAGGAGGGGAGTCCGGAACGATGAACTTGTCTCCCAATTGGAATACTAACTAAGCGCGGCGGCACCCCCCCCTTCCCCCATCAATTACTAACACAGTGAATCACAGTGTCGAGCTCATTCGGTTTTAGTGGTTTTCTTTAATCCTGTTCTGCACTTCTTTCTTATTTACTACACGGGATATTATAAAGAATAAATAGCAGATACTCTTAATTTACAATGATTAGTCATTCCATTTGTTCTCTATATTTACAATATCTGTAAAATAACATTGAACTCTATAGCTTCTTCGATGTCTAAGGAAAAATCAAAACACTTTCCGAAGAATGGAAAATAGCTTTTTAAAAAGTCCTTCTACAAAAGTTCCCCCTCTCTTTGTACTTTTAAGAAAAAATACCGCCCCCCCCCTGCTTCGCCATGCGAAGGGCACTGGGATATAAATAGCAGGTTAACATTATTACCAACAACCAGAATAAGTCTCTCTTTTCTCTGTTCTTTTTTTTTTTTCTTTTGCTTGCTTTTTTTAAATACAGTAGAAGCCGGTAACTTTTGACGTATAATACTGACCTTTTAATAAGTAAATTAAAACTGGGACCGTATATACACACACATATACATTCCTACACAGATAAACAGTGCATTACATGAACCAGAAAGCCGGGTCTCTGTAGCAAAGAAGGAAAAAAAAAAGTTCAATGAAGACCCTAGCTAAAGGGTGGTGGAACTGGTTGGAGGCGGTGTGGGGGCGTTGGTGGGGATCCATCAAGTGTCTGGGCGCGGGCAGGGGGGCCCCGAGTTCTAGCAGGAACACTTACACTCGGAAATGATGGGGTACTGGATGGGAATCCAGCCGCAGCGCTGACCCCCGCGCCGCTGACAGCGCCACCGCAGCACCGTGAGGTGCACAGACTTGGACGGCTTACACACCATGCCCTCGGGCACAGAGCACGAGCGCTTGCTGAAGCAGCTGCCCACCTTCACGTAGCGTGGCCAAAAGCGGCTGCCCAGGTCATTCCACGCGTACAGCACCGGGCAGAAGGTCTGTGACCACAGCCACATCTGTAACTTCCTTCTCAGCTTCTTGCTCAGGCGCTGCTTCTTGCCTTGGGCCAAGCCCTCAGAGAACTCCAGCCCTTTGATCTCGCTAGGCATGGCCCCCGACGGCCTCTGCCGCAGCAGCTGGTCCAGCTCCGCCAGGTCCTCGGCACCCCCAGCCGGTCCCCCGCCCCCTCCGGGCCGGTCCTCGGGGGGCGAAGTGGCCATGAAGCCCGGATCGTAGTGGCCCCCAAGCAGCGAGCGCAGCAGCGTCTCGTTCAGATCCTTCTCCTTAGGGTCAAAGATAGGGTCTGGGTGTTCGATGAGGTCCACCAGGGGCAGGTTGTCGCTGGGCGCCGGGCGGATGTGCAGATAGTGCTGGCCACCGGCTGGTGCTGCCCGCAGTCCCAGGACCACCACCAGGGCGTAGAGGGTGACCCCCAGGCTGGGGCAGCGCTCCATGCCTCCCGCGCGCGCCCCGGGGCTGCCTCTTCGTCCCGCGTCCCCGGAGGAGAGCACGCCGAGCCCGCGGCGCTGCGGCGCTCCCCGGTCCCTCCGGAGACGGCTCACCCGAGGCTGGGCAGGCGCAGGGCGGGCAGCATGAGCTGCGAGGAGAGCGGTTCGCGCAGCGCCGGCTCCCGCCGCGGCGCAGAAGACGCGCACGAGTTGGTCGCAACTCCCCCCCCGCCGCTCTACTTGGGAAGGCGGCGGCGGTCGGGCATCCGAGATTACTCCAGCGCGACCGTGGGGCGCTGGGGGCGCCGGCTCCTCGCTGCTCTCCCGGGCGGCCGGCGGTACCGGGCGCGTGGACGAGTCTCTTCCCTCCTCCTTCGGCTCCTCCGGCCACTCGGCGTCCTGCCTCTCTGTGCGGCGCCTCGGGTCGAGCGGGTCCTGGGCCACTTCCCTCCGCCTGCTCCGGGCTGCGCAGCCGGCTCTGCCCGGCGGACTCCAGCGGCGGCGGCGGCGGCGGCGTCCGCGCACGTTGGCACCGGTTTGTCTGTCTCGCAGGGTCCAAGCCTTTAAATTTCCTGCACTTTCAGCTCCATCACCATGGAAACCACTGACTCTCTCTCTGCGTTGCCCCCTCCCCCTTCTTCCCCCCAAACAACAACCCCACCCCCCACTCCTCCACCCGCGAGGAGCCGGAGCCGGAGCCGCACGGGCTCGGGGGAAAGCGACTGCACTGGCAGGGAAGGCGGCGGCGGCGGTGGCGGCTCCGGCAGCGCCTAGGGCTGTGCCCCGCCGGACCCAGATGCCCCGAGAAGCCGACAGTCGGGCTGCCCGCCGGAGCTCACAGGCGGCGGCGGCGCGGCAGCGGCGGTGGCGGCGGCGGCGGTGGCGCTTGGCAGGTCTCCGCGCAATTTTCTCCCCCCCCACCCCACCCCGGTTCTCCTCCTCCTGCAAAATGCACCGCCCCCCTCCTTTCTCCTGGAGCAATGCAATGGGGCTCTAGGCGCCCCGCCAGGGCCAGTCCCGGGGAAAGCTCTCGGCGGCGCTGGAGCGAGGCTGGAGGGTGCAGGGCTGGAGTTGAGGGGTGTGGGGTTGTCGAGGTGGGGCTGGAGGACTCTTACTAGCTGAGTGCTTTGCACAGGGAGGGAAGCATCAGGGAGATATTGGGGGGGGGGGCGTTTCGTTTCTCAGTGCAATTCCCAGCAAAAGAAATGTGCATGGAACGTTTTCCTTAGTGCCTCTCTTTTTTCCCCCCTCTCTCTGGGGCTTGGTTTAAGTCCCCTTCCCCCAAAATACACACACACACACACACACACACACACACACACACACACACACACACACACACACACACACACGAGTCCAAGAGCTGCAGCGTTGCACAGCCTGATGCAATTCCGAGGCAGCATTTCTGCTCCTCTGTCCTCAGGCCCACGTAAGGGGTGGGAGGTGGTCTTCTCAGCCTCCTCCTTCTCCTTGGCTCAGTCCCGCACGGTGAGTGGCAGAGAGATAGGGGTGCATCTTCCTGGCGTGCTGCTCCCCTAACCCTCGCGGCTTGTACAACTAGCTCTCGCCTCCCTGGGGGCGGCGCGCCCTCTGCTGGTCCTTTGTGATCCCTGCACTTGGTGCTGGTTTGGGGGGTGGTGTGTAGGCTGGGTGGGTTTGTAGGTTGCTCACTCTGCCTACCTCAATTTCAAATTCTGCGTCTGTGCCATTTTTGTGTGTATGGACCGATACTTTAGGCTTCTGGGTGTTTTCTCGAAGATCTCCAGGCCTTTAGTGTAAACAAACGTCCTGAGATTTTTCTCCAAGGCACTCAGATTTCACAAAAACAAAGGTTTGTTCATCATCTGCCTGGGGTAAATGGCCTCTTTGGACAAAGAGTGGTAACTAGAAAAGCAAGGAGGTAGTAGAAGTAAGGGACCCGAGTTCTGGATGCTGCCTACCCTGGTACATCTATGTTGACCTTGGGCAAATCACTTGTGTCTACTGTAAACTTTAGCTTTTGGGTTAGTGACCTAATAGCAAATTTATTTATTTATTTATTTATTTATTTATTTATTTATTTATTTATGTCTTGAGCTCTATCACCTTGTAGTTCTGAGACACCGAGTTAGATCACTAATCCAAATTCACCTCCCCTTTCCCTTCAAAGGGACATGGCCTATTATTCCCTTCATGAGAAATGGGAACTAAAGTGACACCTATCACAAATTTCCCTTTGGATAAAGAGCTGGATCAAGACTCAACTCAATTCCTTTATGGTGATGTGATTGGAGTTTGGAAGGAAATGGGGGAGAGAAACTTGGAGTGAATGGCTCTGGAATTCACCAGGAGTGGGAGTAGGAAGGCTCAGCATCACACCCCCAACACTCCAAAGATATAGTTTTCCTTTTAATCCTCTGAGGAGGAAAGCACTTGGTCCTCTGACCTTTTTGCAAGAGGTCAGCAATAGAAAGGGATGGCCAGTTTCAGGTGCAAACACTTGCCTCAGTTGTGAAGGCTAGACTAGTAGAATTAGATGCCCAGGGGATCTATCTACAGTGAGGTCTTGCTTTGATAACTACTGGAAACAAAAACACCCTGTTGGGACCAGTGTGATCCCAGCACTTGGGGGCCTGAAGAAAGAGGATGATGAGTTTGACATCAGCCTGGGCTACACAGTAGGTTCTGGGCCAACCTATCTCTAGAACAAACAAAACTGATGAACAATCATTGGCTTTTAAAAATTGGTCTAGTTCTTAGGGCTTAGTGGCTAAGAGCATTGACTGGATTTTGCAAAGACCCCCCCCAGTTCTATTTCCAACATCTACATGGTGGCTCACAAACATCTGTAACTCCAGTTCCAAGGGACATGACACCCTTTTCTGACCTCTGTGGGCACCAAACATGCATGTGACATATATGTGGGGAAAACACTCACACATTAAATGAATATGTCTAACTTTTAAAAATTGAAAAGAAAGGTTTAGTTTGCAAATAATATGTGGCTGTCTCCCAGACATTACTTTCTGATGTTTTGTGGTGGTTTGGCATTAGTTTGTTGTTTGATGAAGATTAATTATTTCAGAGTAATTTCATAACTACTGTGAATTAACTTAGAAAATAATTTTTCAGTGAAGACTTGGGACAGTAAACTCCAATTCAGCCCTCCTGAGACAGGGTAAGACCACTTTCTGTGCTATTTTCTTCTTTAAATTGTGTGTGTGTGTGTGTGTGTGTGTGTGTGTGTGATATGTGTTTAATGTTTAATGTCAAATCACTCGTGTTTTAAATTATTTTATTTTGTGTGTATGAGAGTTTTGCATGCATGTCTATATACCATGTGTGCCTACAGAGTCCAGAAAAGGGCATTGGGTCCCCAGGAATTTGGAGTACAGATTGTTGTGAGCCAGCAGGTGGGTGTTGAGAATTGAACTCAGGTCCTCTGGAAGAACAGACAATGCTCTTAACCACTTAGCCATCTCTCCAGCCACAAATCACATGATTTTGCTAAAAACAAACAAACAAACAAACAAAAACCCAAAAAATAAAAACCAACCCAAGCCTTCTGTCCTTTATTAGGTCTGAATAGAATTAGCTGAACAGCAAAGAAAGAAGTGGGAATCCAAGCATACTTGCTGGTGGAGAACCCACCACATGAAGATCAGTCAGAAGGAGAGGCAAATGAGAGAGAACACAGAAGTGACTCCACCCTGGAGCCAAGACTTCTGCAGTCCCCAGAGGGGAGATGTGACAAGTATGGGAAGAAAGTACTTAAAGGAAAACATAGATCACTGTAAAATTGTCAATTAGTATTACACACCCATTTCTTTAACCGTGCTTTCTTTTGATAAATATAACAATTCCTGATCCTTTCTAAGTGTTGTCTGTATTTCCATAATGCAATATCATGGGCTTTAAAAAGTGCCAGAGCAATTATCATATGAGCTATTGGGTTCTCAAACAACACTTGAGGAGTTGGGAAATGCCACACTTGAGGAGGCTGCAACCCTGTTCCACACTACACTGGGGAGCAGCCATATACTCAGGTACCACATACGGGTCATTGCTCTTAGAGACTAGCATGACAAATAGCTTTTATTTATTTGTTTATTTTTCTCATTTTACATATCGATCCCAGTTCCCCCTCCCTCCTTCCCTCCCTCCTTCTCTCCCTTCCCTCCCTTCTATGCCCCCTGAACACCCTGCCATCCCATTCCCCACCCCCACTCCACAGGGAGGGTGGTGCTTCCAGGAGGGGGTCAAAAAAAATCTCTCAAGTCATTTGGAGTAGAGTCTAGACCCTCCCTCCTGCCTCTAGGTTAAGGGAGTATCCCTCCATGGGGAATGTGCTCCCAAAGTCCTTTTGTGCACCAGGGATACACCCTGATTCCACTGTCAGAGGTCCCTTAGACTGCCCAGGCCTTCTAACTGAGACCCACGTTCAGGAGGTCTGAGTTGGTTCAATGCTGGATTCCCAGCTATCAGTCTGGGGGGGGGGCATTGGCTCCTCCTTGTTCAGGTCAGCTGTCTCTGTGGGTTTCTGTAGCCTGGTCTTGTCCTCCCTATCTGCATCTGGATTCCAGTTTGGCTCAGTGTTTAGCTGTGGGTGTCTGCTTCCGTTTCTATCAGCTACTATATGAGGGCTCTATAATGATGGATAAGTTAGTCATCAATTTCATTATCAGGAAAGGGCATGTATGGTAGCCTTTCCACTGTTGCTCAAATTGTTAGTTGTAGGTCTTTGGACATTTCTCTAGAGTCAGTTTTCTCTTCAAACCTATAATGGTTCCCTCTTTCATTCTCTCTCTCTCTCTCTCTCTCTCTCTCTCTCTCTCTCTCTGTCTATTCTCTCATCCATTCCTCCCCTGACTCAATCTTTCTAGTCCCACATTCTTTCCTCTCCTTCCCTTCTCTTTCTCCTAGCTCCCTCTCCACTCACTGCCTCCCCCACTCCCAATGTGATCAGGAGATCTTGTTCCTTTCTCCTTTTATGAGGGACCTTGTATGAATCTCTTAGATTCCTTCTT